CACACACAGAAACCAAACAAACAGAGCAGTGAGCTGCAGACAAACCAGCGGATTACAACCCAATATTTGTAAGTGTTAGTAAACCTCTTTCCCATGCAAACAAATACTTCATACGATATCAACCACATTTGCATTTACCCATTCATCTATATCATTTTAATCCAAAACAACTCACAGTTCACAATGTGAACTGCCACAGACTTTAAAAGTGTAGGTTGGAGGTTGTGTTACTGACCATGTTGCACATCATTACAACATATTTTGTCCTTGCACGCTGTGAAATATGAAGGCATGACACTGACTTTAATATTTGCCTTCAGTCTACACATTGTTCGTGTTATTTCAACAGAAACAGACAGAGGAATACATAAATGCAGAAATAGTTTGCTTGAATGACAAAATGTCGAACTGCCAGCAAACTGGGGACAAATGACTCAAAGTGTGATCAAATATGGCGGCAGCACGCCCAGGTCACAGGGTTACCTCATTCAAGGGTTGAGAAGATCAAATCTAAAAGTGCAGCCAGCAGTCATCTCACAATCAGTGCATCTGGGTATCTGGGAACTGCAAGGCAAACATACAACTGCTATGTTCATGAATAATGCAAGATTCTAGAATTTCTGACCTTCAGCAACCCGGCACACCACCTGTGTGTGCTGTAGCACTTTTTGGTTTGGCTTATGTAGTATCATGAACCAAAGTTTTTGATGCTCATGATGTTTTGGTAAAAAAATGCAATTTGGCCCAGATCATGGTGCTTAAAATTCGCCTGAAATGAACGAAACATCAGGAATTCCACTGTAATCTAAAACATGATGAGGGATTTCAGGTTGCATATGTGTGAGGTCATCATTTAACTACTTCATTTCCAGTTTTAATTGACTTGCATTATCTGAAAAAAAGCGAGCCAGGCTTGATCCTTACAAATATCCAACTCGATTTAATTCTTCTTTGTTCTGACTTTATTGCACGGAGAGTTGCAATGACCCAGTTCGTCAGCGGTGATCAATACAGTCTCATCTTATTCAGTTGACTCCCGTTCCCAAGTGAAGCTTATGAAAGGATCAATACCAGCCAGAGAGGGCTGAGGCAGTTCACCGGCGGTCGAGGTCTCCGCAGAGTCAGAGCCTTTCAGAGCGTAGAGGTCTGGTCACATGCTCATGTTCCTGACAGTTTCATCAGGGCTCTGAAACTCAGAAGAAAAAAAACAGACCCTCACATCTTAAACAGTGTCTGGCACGACGCAGGCGGAGCAAACCTGCAGCATTTGAAATGTTCTAAATCCCGTCCCGCCTAGTCTTATATTCCACGGGGTAAAATTTGCCTCATTATCGGTGTCACTGGTGGGTGTTGGGCTCAGCTTAAAATTGGCAGGAAGAAGATATAGAAGGGAACGGTTTGGATAATCATTTCTGAAATAATGCAGCTCACCTTTAGTTCCCCTCTATCAGCCTCAGTCTTGTCAGGATTTATGGCTTCAGAAAGATGCGATCCTCCTTTCAGAATGCCACGATCTGGCATACTGAGAGGATCAATCAGAACTTCATAAGGGACACCGGGATGCTTCCAGGAAGATGGAATATGGACGCTCCAGATTTCGGGCTGCCCAAAGGTCCCTGCGGATTCAGAACACGTTTTTAAGATTACTTTGTCAGGCTGTGTTTCATGGTGGCACAGTGAAAACTATTGCCTCTAAACGCTTTCTATTTCTGAATTCCATTGAAAGGTTTTAGCCGCTAACTGCTTTGCCACATTGTACAGCATATCTCATTCAGCCACACAGGACATTTGCATTTTTATTTCTTTATATTCTATATATATTTATATATAATTATTTCCATATTCATCTCTTTTTGTGTCTTTAGTAATACGACCATTCTCTGTCCTAATTTGGACAAATTACTGGTCAGTAAATTATGCAAATGTTACTGTTTGGTGACTAGAATAAGAGAAAGTTACTGTGTAAATATTGAGCATCTTTATATTTTTTCATGGGTGATCTCTGTTAAATGTCCTCTTTAAGCAGAATGCACCGAGATCTAAGATCACTCCACTTTTTTACAAGTTTGATTAAAAATCAATCTGTTATTCAAATAAATGTGTGTGTTCCTCTGAATTAATTTTTATCTTATATTTAAAAAATCCCACACTCAGTTTACAGGTAGTCTCAAAGGAGGATGGTTCCTTACTTTTGGGGTAAAATGTTATGCCATTGTATCTAAACCTTATCTGCATGTGAGGATAATAGATGACAGTGCTCCCTTTACTTACCCCTCATGATTTGGTCATTTTAACAGTGTAGAATGAAACACAAAATTCTTAAAATGCATAGAAATTAAATATCATGCCAAATTGGACCCGGCTGCATTGTCATGAGCTGCTACGTCAGACTGTAACAAAGCCTAAAGATTATTTTTACCCAGAAAGCCTACCACTCCAGGTAACTTTTTCGACTAAGCATCCTTATTTTAGCCTCAAATAGGGGACAGAAGTACACAAAGTGGCACCCACCAATGAATTCTCCCTTTGCACTCCAAAGGCGCACAGTGCGGTCGGTGGATGAGGTGAGCACCACTTGATCACTGTCAACAGTCTCCAGGCTTGACGAGAATAAAGAGGCACACGATGAGAAAAGGAAAAGGCATGTTCTGGCAGAACGCTGTTAATCATCAACTCTGTCTGGATGTCAGATGCACCCCGGGCAGCTTCTCACCTTGTTAGTGAAAGACCTTCTCACACACACACACACTCACTCTGCACTCTGTTTTTCTACCACATAGAAGTGAAGCTATTCTACGGCTGCAACTGACACCTCAGGGTTGGTGAATTTCGCGAATGCAATTAGCTAAAAGTTAAGGACAAAACAAGTCTGACTGCTCTCTGACCCGATAGTGGCTACATTAATCTGCGGTTGGTTCCAGGACACGTGGAGTAATTCACTTACCCGGTAATTGCGCTCGTGTGGGCACGCCAGAAGTTTTCGGCTGCAGAACAGTACATTAAAAAAGAAGGGAATGAAAAACCTCTGGAGACATTCTCATGAGCAACATCTTTCTATAACGACAAAAGCCAGAGCAATCTGGAACTAACCTCCGGGGGATTTTTTCTCAGGGTCAAACTTCTCCAAGTCGTAGATATAGATGTAACCAATTCTGTCAGCTGTGTACAGCAGCATGCCATTGTCAGCTCTGGCCAGCTTTACTATCTTTTGTTGGAATTTAGACTGTGAAGTAGCAATGCAAAGAAAAAGAAAAAAAAGCTAGATTTCAGGCAGTGTTCATCTTAAAAAACATTCATTATTTAGGTTCAAATTAATTGAGAGAAGAAAAAAAACGGAAGAATAACACTTTTATCTCCCCTGTGGAGGCTACATTTTTACTCCCATGCAGAGAGACGTAAAATTAATATTTTCTAATATGTGCATGATGTTATATAATAATGAATCATAGAAAGTTTTACAAATAAATCAGTGTATGTGAGCCACTGCTGGTAGAAATGCAGGAAGGTATGATATCAAAACCAAAATCTATTTTTTGACTTATCACAAAACTCCAAGTACAGCTAAATAAGACTGATGGAATCCTAAATCAAGCAATAATGAGACAACATTTTTTTTTCTCAAAGGTCCAGGATTAGGCTCCTTTGTTCACATATTGACTGTCAAAAGAAAAACAGCGACACTTTTTTAGACAAACTACTCGCCTCAAAATGAAACATTATCCCTGAACTAATAAATTGCTTCACTTTCAGCGGATTATTCAGTTCTATCTTCTTTTGAGAATAAAATATTGATTTAGAATTTTGAAGAATTATAATTTTGTTTTAAATTTTTCATTTTACAACACATCTTTTTTTTAAACCGGAATTTTACTATGTATCCTCTAAAATGATCATTTTTATTGTTTTTGGAGAGCACTATGTTTGTTTTCAGCCTTGAGGACTGTCTAAATGCCCTCATGTTCACCCATCTCCCAAAAGCCAATTTGCATGATTTATGTGCAAGGAGAGTATTTGCATCTTTTTTAGAAAAAAAAAAACAAAGAGAAGTAGCAAACTATGATACATCTTATTCTTGGTTTGCATTTTTTGAGACAATAGAAAGAGAAGTACTCCTCCTGAATTGTCAACAGGGAATGCAAGAATTCTGAAATGTATTTCAAAACATATATGTAAAATATCTGACCGCTTTGAACTTGCCCACAAGTTTTCCTCCGCCGAGTACATCCCAGAGGTTTATATAACCTTTAAAAGAAGGAATACATAAATAACACATTGATGAAAGACACTGGGAGACTGTAAAGTGCAGTTGTGTGCTGAAATCTTTCCGGCTCACAACACTGACCTCTCATACCAGATGACAATAGAGCTGTAGCTGGGAACCGCTGCAAAGTGGAGTTCTGCAGGAAAAGTATGCAAGGAACGCTTTCATCCAATTCTGCTGTGAAACACAAGATAAATGTCGTGCTTTAATCACCCCATACATCTCAAGCACGGAGGAGTTAGGTGGACTTATAAAAAAAATCCCTTTTGGAGCTCAGAATTGACCTTCGGGATCCCGGTGCTCAGTTTCAACAGGGCTGCTAAACCTGCAGTGCACACGCTGAGAAGCCATGTTCCACACTATAATCTCTCCATCACAGCTGCCAGTGGCCAGGAAAGATGGGGGACACTGCACCACACAAAGGATGTCCCCCTTATGGCCATTTACCTGAGGAGAAACACATCTTGAGTATCTCTAAATGACTTAATGTGAGTCAGATGTTACTGAGTGTTTTCACAACACAGAAATTAACTTTTTTTCAGACATAGTAATCTGTCAAACTAATGTAGCCACTACTAAAGCATAGGAGTATGATTAAAACTTCAACAGCACTTTCCTATACAGACCACCACAGGCCCTGTCACTACAGTGTGCCCATCATCCCCCTTTCTGTTTTAATACTGCCAACCCATCCTTGGCATTTTTGACCTCATACACTATTCCCCCCCGAAAACTGGCAGGTTACCAAATGAGCCCAGATGGTTAATTCCGCCATATTCCCTCGAGAAGGATCAAGGAAAGTGCACGTCTACAATAACTGGATGGCAGAAAGGTCATTGTCAATCACTTCCAAAACTTCATTAAAAAGAAAAATCCTCAGAAGTCTCCTTGTACTGCAGAGAGTAATCTTCGATTAGATATGTTTTGATACATAACAAGCCACATCTGAATGTCAGTTGTGAATTATCAGCTCGTTTGACGTCCAGCCTATGAGCCCTCAGAAAAGCCTAATATTTCTCCTGCTTTTATACTCCATACTGACACAAAGTCATTCATCTTTTTTATTTCTTCCTGATTTCAACAAGACGGAGTGATACTACTGACATGAGACCGGGTACACGTGCCAGATTAGGGCAGGCAGATGGCAGTTAAAACGGTTTCATTATACTCCATGCCAAAGTGAAATATTAAGCTCAACTGGGTCAAGTTTGAAAATTTTATGAGACGCAACACAACACTGACCATCTGGAGGAACAGACAAACTCACTGTGAAGTGGAGGCTCGCTGACTACTGGCAAGGAGAGCAAACATATCAAACAACACATTGATCTTTCTCCTGCAGGCCATTAATGCAAAAACAATTTCAACACAACCCTCTGTAGATAATCAAAGGGGTCACTTTTGGTTTTGGCCACTGTAATGCAGTCTTTCCGAGCTCATCATGGGTGTCTTTGGGGGTGAATGTAACCACCAGCTGTAATGAAAGAGATTTACAGGCTCTGAAAGTCACCTCATCCAATAGATCATACAGCATTAGTGAGAATAAATGTTCCCTCTTGTGACTCTGGTAGAGAGAACAGTGCCCTGCGGGCAGAGATAACTGGACTGTATCACACATCCAAAACTTGATAAAGAAACTGTCATCTACTCTCTGATTTTTTTGGAGACTGATTATCCTGCTTTGATGGGTTAATTCACCTTTAAAGAAAATAACAGATGACTGTGTGAAGCAATTTCCTTGAGTAGTTCAGTGAAGTTTGGCTTTATCTACAACGGCCATTAAACTGTCAATGCGCAACATTCTGTGCTTTTCTATCACCGTGCCTTTTAATTGGATGTTGAAAATAATTTTTAGCAACCATATGACAGTTTTACTTTAAATCCAATACAGAGGTATGTGTATCTTAGGCAGTAAAATAGATGTGCACATGCTAAATTTGAATAAATATTTTTCTTTAACATTTGGTAATCACATCAGATGTACTTCTTATTCCTTAATCAGACATCCACCAAAATGTTAAGACATTCAGTTAAAAATCACCAAAGAATATTAATAGACACAGCAGATGCTTCATTTCACAAATGACATTTAAGATTTTTTTCCCTTTGAAAGAAATATGCAGTTTCTTGAATCCAAAATCTTTCTCTAAAAGAAATTGAATTAGTTTCTTTCTTCAAATGATGACTGAAGAACTGCGTATTTCCGTCTGTTTTATCAAACAATAAGTGATTGACTGGGTTTTCTGAGAAAGTATATATATTATATTAGTAATTAATACACTTATGTTTCCTTTTCATAATAAAGTTTATTTAAAAAACGTTAGCTTTTTATTTGCTGTCTCATTTTGTGGAGCTCCTGCTGTTGTATATATTCTTGGGTTTACTTTTCACTTTTGATTCACAGCAGGTCTCAGTGTGCTGATTGCTTCTCCTGCATCCTGGTTTTTATTATTTCCCCTGGTATATACAGAGTTCCTTCTTCCTCCTTTCTGTTGTGTGTTATTCCTCATGTCAAATTTAATTTTATTCCGTGCACACTGTGCCTTGTATTTTGATTTATATTTTGTGAATTTCCTGCCACTGCAGCACCTTCTGTTTGATAAAAGTTGATCTTTTCTTCACTCCTCTGCCTCCTGAGCCTCGGATCTCATCATAAAACCTACTGTGACAATACTATAATGAGTGTGTAGCATAACAAGATCACTAAATAGCAATCACATGAGTTGGTAACCTAGATTCAGACTGGCATCTAAATTCACCTCAGTATAACAAATGAAACTCTCTGCATAAAGAGCCTGAGTCTGTTGCATGAGAAAATCTTACAGGGGCAATAACAGCATAGTGGGAACCAATCCAAAATCCTGGATTAGGCCCACGTAGGTCCATTTCAAACAACGAAAAAATGTTTTAACTGCCTCATGTACTATCATGTTTTCATACATGAGTTTGCTCATTTCTTTATAGCAAATTCAACCTCAGACCAATCATATTTGATTGGTTATTGCTTCCTGTTAGAACATTTAATGTCAAAGTCATCAAGAGTTTTCTTCTCATAATCACCAGATCATTCTGCCATGAAGTCGGCGGTCTTTGTACATGATGAGGGTCCTCATAATTGGCCTGACAAAACACAGAAACTCACTCAGAAGGTATTTTACATTTCATTCATTACATTATTATTTAAAACTTTTTAGAACATTCTGAGAGAACAATGCTGACTGTCAGTAGCCGCTCAACGGGAGAGCAAAAATAGGCAGTTATTTCTGACTTGTTTCAATTTAAAACAAGATGCTACACATGTCTTTCATTGAATGCATGAGCTAAGTTAGTAATAACTTAGAAAGAAAATGCAAATTGGATGCGATATGATGAAAGAATTAAGGAAGAGGAGAAATCATTGGAATGGGAGTTCAGAGAGACAACAGACAAAAAAAATCGATTGAATTCCGTAATTATTTTTGTACTCACTGAATAAATGTCAATTCTCCGGTCTCTTCCCACAGACATCACATATCTTCAAACAAAATTTGCACATGCTCAGGGCTGATTCAAATTCATATCGAACACTTCTGAAATATCACATTACTACTCACAAATTCCTGTGAACTTTAAGAAAGATGCAGTCGCACACCTCTCGGCATTTACCATCTACAGAAAAGATCAAAAAGTCTGTGTATTCTCTGTCCTTTCTGTTAGATTAACATTTAAAACTTTTTAATTTTATGAAATAAATTAAAACTTTCTTACCCGTCTTTAAAGTCTTTAGGCACTGACCATTGTTGAAGTTCCATATCTTTAAACACCCATCTCTTCCACCTGTGATGAGTCTGCAAACACAAGATGATAACACGAAGAGCAAGAAAGAACAAATCATTTTCTGAATTTATGTTATAAAATACAAAACCTGTGTGCACAACTCACCTCCTCCCTTCAGAGTCCATAGTCATGCACGTGATGGCAGTCAGATCATTCGTGCCACCAAATTCAAAAACCTGATGCCCACTGTCAAAGTCCCAGACTTTCACCACCTTAAAACCAGTATTTCCCATACCCCTGTCTTTAAACAATGTGTGTGTCTATTCTCAGTCTTGAGATCAGTGTACGGAAAAGCACTTGTTTACTTACAGCTCCCTCACAGCAGCTCACAACTTGGCGGAACTCCTGGCTGTAGCTGCAGCAGAGAACAGGCTGGTCATGTGACACAGTGGAGTGCCTGTGGAGCCTCGGCCTGAGAGGGGAGACACAAGAATGAGATCATGTTAGACTCACCTCCGTGGACTGATGCTTGAAAAATACAGCAAATGGCTCCGCGAGTGGAGGACTGAGTCATTTCCATGACAAAACGTCAACTTTACATTAAATCACCTGAGGAATTTATCCATGCATTTATTTCAGAACACGTTGGAAAATCTATTCATAGAAAAGAAACAGAGCTCCCAGCAAAGGCAACCAACCTCAATTTCAGGGGGAGCACAGCCATACAGTCTGCTGCAATGTACAGAGATTTCATAGCGGGGGAATAGGAGCAGGAAAATATATCCCTGTGAATCCCGACAGCTTTGGGGTCTGCTGTGAACAGGCAGCACTGATCCTGAATGTGCCAAATCTGAAATGAGAGCAATGGAAGGTTATTCACATCGTGTCCTCGCAGAAAATCAGCAATACCACCTTTTACATTGCATTTATGTCACATCATCTAAGTGAAAAAGGTTCGTTTGGGTAGGAATGAGCACACGTGCAAAACAAATTCATGCAGAAAGTATAAAAAAAATCACTTTGACTGTGGCATCTGTGGAGGCAGAGAAGATCTGGCTGTCCTCTGAGCAGATGCACAGGAATAGAACGGGAGCAGAGTGGCCTTTCAACACACCAAGCGGTTTCCTGAACAGAACATCCTAATTAGAAGTAAATAACAGTCCTATCTACAGTCAATGATTATTTTCTCAAAGACAGTCCACTGAGTTATCGTTCCTCACCCAGAGAAACGTGGGTTCCATAGGCGGATGAGTTTGTCCATGCCTCCAGTCACCAGCAAGCTGTGCTTCTGACAGAGGTCAAAGGTCTTCACACCTTTATAGATGGTGAAGACCGTCTGATCACATGATGCCCGGACCTGTGGAGTCCAGCTCAGTGGGGTCTTTCTGGTTTTACCCTCATAGCAGGCCTCTCTGATCTCATTCAGCTGCTGTGCCAAATCTGATGAGGGCAGCACACAGCCTCCAGAGGAAAGAATACAACAAAAGGCATTCAATTACAAGGTGGCGTGTGCCAGCATCAATCAAAACATCTTTTTGGATCGGGATAAGTCATCAGCAAAATAAATGACCAAGCTCCAAGTGAGCATGCCAACATACTGGACAATCACACACACAGACAGGCTGATATTGACTGGTGGATTTGTGATACATGAGTCATCATGAGTCATCTTTCACAGCTCTCCAAGCAGACTGTCTCATGGCGGAGTTACATTACTGCACATCGCAAAGCAAAAGTTGGTCTTTTTTTTTAAACCAGCATTTTCAGGAGACATCGTTATTTGTTTGTGTCTCATTTCAGAGACTGCGTGTGCGCAGAAGAGACAGCTAAGCATCTATTTTAAGCCAGTGAGAATACGATAATGATCTTGCTTAGCCTGTTATTGCATATAGCTTGTGCCGAAGAAAAATTGAAGCCGAAATTACCTACAACAAGAGAAGCAGGCTCTTCATTTGATGAGGAGACGACAGCTCGAAAACTGTGAAAATATCTTGCCTAAATTAAAAGATAAGGCTTTGTATTACTAAATCATCACTCCAAATTTCAATAGATAAAAAAGCCACATGGTTGAGAAAAGCAAATCAATTCATTGTTGGCATATATTAGAATTGTTACAGCAGAATATATTTACAGACAATCACAATATTTCTATTCTGCTAGTAATCTATAATGACAATGCGAGAGACAGTTTTTGGAGCACTCTGTTTATTTGTCAAAAAAAAAAAACAGAAAGCTTTTTTTATTCTAATGAATAGTCAAATATCTTGTCATGATTCAAATAGTGCATCCCTCATCAACCAGTGGTCCTAAAAATGGAGAGCCTAATTTAGTCAAATGGACAAAAAGACTTCATATTTTTTACTTTGCTCGTAGTGAAATTAATATAACTGAGAAAAAACTGAGAAAAAAAATGTGACTTAAGATTACATTTCTCATAGTTATACAAAACAAGTTGAACGTTTGGAAAATTTGAATTGGCACTATATATTTTAAAAACCTTACCTGCGTCACCCAGTCATAATGGACCTTCCATCTGACAAATGTCACATTTGGAGAAAGCACAACATTGTCTATTGCTATGTTGGGGATTTTATGGGTCTTTGGAAACCTTTTCCATAATCTAAAAAAAAGAGAAGAGAAGATTTGTAACTAAATTTTACATTGATACCATTTCATGAGACACAACTTCACACATTACGAAAGACACATTTTATTTGGGTGAACAGAAATCTGATTAGTTATCACATAACACAACACATAGCTCATGCAGTGTCTTCTAATTATTACTATTTCTTAACTTTTGCTTGTTGTGCGTTTCAACAAATGAAATAGGCGTGCGTATATTGGACTTTAAGAAACCAATATTACCTGAGAGTATCTTCAACAGACGATATTAATAAAACCGTTACACATCCCTGCAACACAAACAAAATATCAGTTTGTAAACTCAAAAATGGACTACTTTTTGGGGATTTAACAACATACATACTTCAGTGTCTCCAAACACAACACAACATTCATCAAGACCAGTGTAGCTGAAACATGAGAAGAAAAACAGCCATTAACATGATGGGAGTTGTTGGATATTTTTGAGATGATACAGCTCCGTTTATCACCTGTAGTCTAAAGTTAAAGGAATTGTGTCCAGGGCACTGATCTGACAATACGGCTCCAAAGTAGAGAGTTCATAAAGTTGTATTTGTCTGTCGCTAAAAACACATTCAGCATACTAAAGGTTCAAAGCAGCTGGATCCTGGTAAAAACAGCAGTTGTGGTCCTCTGGGGACGCCGTGTGTGTCTGCCATTACCCCGTTCCCATCATCAGCTTGTTGTACTCCAGCATCAGAGTGAAATCAGTTGCCCACTTTGATTTTTGATTGGAAGGTTCTTCATTCTGTAAAAACAAATTGCATATTAAAAGCTTGAGCTTCACTGAATAATGTCAGTTAAAATAAAACAATCTTAATCTTACTTACTGGGAATTAAAAGTCAACTATATATAGCAGTTTCTTTATCTTATTATCAGATAATTCGTTTCAAACTCTAATTTTCAGTGTTATTGCCTTCAGGGAAGAGATCTAGAGTACTAAGGACAAAAATTCAATAGAACTGAAGAAAAAAACTGAACAAAAGATGAAAAAAACGCATGCTGTTCTTTTCTGGAGGGTTACACCTGTTTTCTTTTGGGAAATGTCTTCATGGATTTGTTACTTTTATGTTTTTTTTAATGACAATTGTGTTTTGTTATCAAAGTGCATTTGATTTTTATTTTTTTTTCTTCTCTCACAGGCTGATATTGAACATGAACTGTCAGAGAGTAGGGAGGAAAAACAAAGTGGGAACATACAAACATGTGTTTGGTCATCTGAGGTTGAAGCTCTGGAGTCCAACAGCACACAAACCCATCTTCTCGTGCCGTCACCACGGTGCCGTCGTGGGTGATGTGGATGTTGATAATAGGAATTCCATGGCCACAATCACTAATGGAAGCTGGCAGGGTGAAGGCCACCTGCTTCCTGCGTCGCTCGCTTTCCTCCTTCTCTTTATACTCCTGCAGCACATAAGTGCAGTACTCACCCTGCAACATATCACATGCTGTATCTTAGCAATCATGCTATCATCAGGGATAGAAATTATGTAAAGATGCAAACTTGATGTCGAACAATAACACAAATGTATAAGCAAAGCAAGGATACATTTTTCTACATTTTAAGTCAAACAACCTGTTTAAAAGAAACACTGACAGCACATGAACTTAGCTAACATCAGCTAACACAAATGTTAGCTACTAGAAGACAAATATGTGTAGTCAGTTTCTTTAGACATAGGCTGAAATAT